GGTGGCAGCAGCATGTTTACACCAATGAAGTTTAGCTTCAAGTTGGAAGGGGGTCAAAATGACTGACAGTACGACGCAAGCCACAAACTGAGTACGAAGAACGCCATTTGGCTCCTACCTTTCCTGATAATCCTCTTACCATCCAGTTCTTCGGTGCCTTTTCTGCAACTGGGCATACTCAGCTTGTCCCAATCTGGAAGAGAACAGAAAGAGAGCGAGTAGACGAGAAGGATAGACTTTGTTTGAACTCTATTCAATATGTGAATGAGATAATGGTTCCTCACCTCCTACCACTTTATGAGAGCATGGGAGGAATGGAAATAGGATCTCAGACTATTGAAGACGGTACTCCTTGTCACACATCACGATATACTCAAACCTTTCGCTACATGAATGGGATTCTACGAATGGATTGGGCTCCCTGCTCACCTGACATCAATCCTATTGAGAACGTTGGGGCGCTATGGAAAGCGAGGGTTAGGAAGGCATTTCAGGATCCTGCTTGCCACCTCTATGGTCAAGATGAAGTTATCCAATTAGCACAAAAGATCTGGATGGAGTTGCTGTGCGGTAGGATCTATCGGTGGATAGATGGAATGCCAGGATGGATCACTGCTCTACTAAGGAACCATGGAGGTCCTACTAGTTGGTAGTTTGTAGTCCTTAACTGTATTCTTATTTGCTTTCTTTCTCGTTGGTTCTAGCAGCCCTATGTTTTTCTTATATTATAATATGTTCGGTGTTGTGAAAATTTCCGGGAGTGCCAAGACCCGTTGTCATACAATTTTCTTCACGCAACTGGCAGTTTCGGTTGTTGTGAGAAACCTTAAACCGCAGCATTAAACGGTTGGGGTAAGGCACCTTAACCCCCTATATCTCATCCAGAAATTCTTATGTTTAAAGTATCTTTTAATTGCTGAACCTCCAGCCTATCCTCTATTGAGGTAGACAGAGAAAACTACCTCGGAACTTTTTGGGAACCTTAGTAACTTGTAGTTGTGCAAGCCACCTTTGTGCAAGACATGCCTCTTAAAGAATTTGTTTACCGTAGGTGTAGGCGGCGCCAAGACATCCGGATACTTTTGGAACGCGCAAGTACATCGTTATCTTTGAGGGGAAAATTGCACTTAGCAAACCTGAGATCCCGGGTTGGCTCACTAAGCATAGAGCACTCAAGCAGATTATTATCCAGTTGTTTTCAATTGGATGAGTGCCGGTGCTGCTCTGCATTAGCTCCTGGAAAAAGACACAACCACCTTAGCACAGAGGGTTACTATCAAGCTAAGGTATGTTTCTCCAAGATTGCTATCAACCACGTCCGACGAAACCCTGGCGCAACGAAGTCTGTGCGTCCTAGAAGTCAACCCCGTTGCCTGCGAATTCTACTACGATGTACGCTGCTCGCCCCCGTCACGTTCCAAATCCCAATCGAGGACGGGAGGGGGAATATCAAACGTACAGTGATATGGCTAATACCTCGTGCCCTTGAGGTTCCTTCTACTATTAGGTCTGCATTAAGGAGCTACGTTCCAAATCCCTCTTGTACGTTTTTGCGCATTCATCCCCAAATCTGGTACTTTTCTATATCTCATGGGGCCACATAACCTCTGTGAGTACCGTACCTGTAGGATATACCACAGCGATTGTGGTAAATTTAACACACCCCCGCAGCTTTCCCGGCACCAGGTTAAAATACCCTTGACTCATTAGTGGCCCCGGAAGTCCTTCCTAAGTCCATAGCTTTTGCCAAAGTGGCACGATGCCGGACGGGTTTGAAGCCCGTCCGGCTAAATCGAGAGCTCGGCGCCCTATTATGATCTCATTAAGCGGGATCAGTCGCACTAGTTTCTTGAGGTACCGGTATTTCCCGTGATGAGCGAGTGAACGGAAGCGATCACTGCGGTGTCTTCAATCCTATATTGAAGTTGGAAAGCATGATCTCGAGGTTAGTTCGAGGACAGGGCAGCTATAAGTATGGTGACCGCGCGTTTCCTTTATACAGCTACCACTTGCCTTTCCCGGGTCTTTTTGCCTCATAGTAGCTCGGGTTGCATTGCCTCCGTGGCGGCATTTCCCAAGTTGTGTGGTGATACCTGCCCATATTGGAAAGGGAACAAGCCAATCCTAAGAGTAACTAAGCGGCACGAGCGGCCGATAGACACATTGGTCACGTGAGTCCGATAAGAAATTCCGGAGCACCTTAGGGCTGCAATAGGGGGTTTGCGCAGGTAGACCTAGGTGGGAGTTATTAGCGATGTCACTCGGGGTTGCCACACGCACAAACTGCCCATCAGACTCCCGAAAATTGTTGAGTTTCTTAAATTCCATGTATTTAAGAGGTCAATACGTCCGCCAATTCTAAACTTTCATGAAGTTTCTCTTCTCAGGATTGTCCTTGCGGGGAGTAGCCACAAAATCATACCTGAATAAAGGCATGGGGGTGCGGTTCGAGTAGGAATTTGTGGTCCTCAATTCCGGGTCCTCAATTCCGGTTTTTACACCTTCACCAGGTGGCACTAAAGAGCCAGGTGGCCAAGCCGTATTGGTAATTTATACTAACACCACATGTATCTCACTGCGCAAACTCTTTACTCAAGGCGCCCGTTTGCTCTGCCAGTTCCCATTACGGAATCACTCATCCTCAGGAATTTTAGCCAATAAAACGCAGTACGGAACGATGATTGCAACCACACTTAGAAAACTCTGAACCTCAAGGACCTGGATGACATTCACCTCCATTCAATTGAAACAACGAAAGGTGGTGGTGAGTTATGCCAGCAGAAGGGAATTGTCACATTTCAATGGCCATTGAGATCACCAAATCTTAGCCAAATTGAGTGACTATGGGATGATTGTAAAGATGAGATTGCTGCTTACCAATTTACCGGTACTAGTCAGGAAACAGTTGAGCAAGCAAAGGCTACATTGGTTGAGGTTTGGAGATAGTTTCCACAGGAATTGATGGATAGGCATTGTCAAAGCTTTCATGAAAAGCTTAATAGATGTATCATTCATCATGGTAATAATAAATTTAATGGATAGTATTTTGTATTTGTTTTAAGTTTGTTCCTTTCACGCACTCCTAGTAGCTAAATTAGAGCGGCCGGGGATGCTTTATGTGGGGATTGTTACTGTGACTGCAGGAAAACTGGCGACTCAGTAGTCAATGTTACAGCTTTGTTTTAAGGTGTCCATACGCTTTAGCTAGTGTTGCGCCGGAGGCACTTTGGTGTCTTGTATAGGCCAAAACATCCGAGGATGAGCGATTCCATAATAGGAACTGGCAGAGCAAACCGGCGCCGTGAGTACTGTGTCCTTAGATAAGGCGCGTGACGAATACATTTAGCGGCCCCACTCGTAGATAGGAGGAGACATGAAATTAATATCTATCTGAGTACAGCCTCATGGAGATTGGTTTGCATCCCGCGCAGAACCCCTAGTATCCTTTAACGTGAATACCGGTACTTTCGACAAGAGACCTGCATCGCTGGCATTAGGCTAGGCGGGGGTCGGATGTGGGAGCGAATCCCCAGTCCTCAAACTCGACACTTTTGGCAAAGGTGTACTCCCGCGGCCGAGTTGAAGTTGGACACCTAGATGGAGTAGTGATCGCCGGCCCAATGAATGGGCATATCCGGAGCATCAAGGTGACGACAGTAATTCCATATACCGTATTCTCCAGGTAGGGTATTAAAGGCTGTGATTGATCGGGAATGTCAATCGTTTCATGAAAAGCTTCGAAAGGTAATACTAAGCAATGGAAATTATAATTTCAATGGCTAGATCCCGGGTTATATGGGTATGCGATGGCTTGCCAGGTCATGTAGGATCATACAAGAACGAATTATGCAGTGTTTTTTATTTTATATCGTATGTGATTATTAATTGTGTTGCCCTGCATCGGTTTGTTATTGGCCCGGCAATTACTACCCTATGTGGGTGTCCAACTTCAACTCGGCCGCGGGAGTACTCAGCCGCTGTAGAGCAAAGATGGAATCTCAAACAAACTGTGCTAAGGGTAAAATCCCCTATTCGCTTGATGTACCTATCGTTCGAGACCAATCTTTGCCTGCGCAATCGTCTGATCCACACTTGCTAATTGGCTTACCGGCATTATCCTGACTGCGGATAAACAAATTGGTGTCTAAGCTTTACCCTCAATCGTAAGCAGACCCGTTTCCTGCTGGCTGTGGTTGGTGGTGGAAGGGAAATGATGTTCTTAATCAACCGACTTACTCGTTTAACATCCTTAAATCATGGTTTCTAAGCTCTATTTGATTTCATCATATATCTGAAATGAGTTGACCTAAACTAGTCCTGCCATTCTTACCGCATCAGAGGTCTGGTCATCTCTTCTCGCTATTCATCTTCGATACTAAATACCTCGTGAAAGCCTTCACACTCGTATCCTATATTTGATCACGTCCTTCGAGACCTTCCAGTTCTACACTTGCCACAGGTGTGAAAATGCTTCGGTTAAATTGATACCGCACTGCAAAGGAAATGACGAGCGCACAACACCTCAGCCAAGCGGGCCCTAGATACTTTGCAGATATCCCTGTACTGCAAGTGACAATCCCATAGCCCCAGCTCCGCACCGCCCCCTAGACATTCCTTGCCCTTAGTACTTACCCCACAGCTGTCGGTGCTGTAGTTCCTCAAACACGATCGCTAATACCAAGAGATTTGCCATAGTTATTCCCATAAGTAATGCAACGAGTCCCTATAACCCTGGTGTGAGTCAAAACCCGTCATCCCAGCCCCTCGGTAGACTCTCTGAGATTGATTCGAGAGGGGGAGGGTAATTACAGTCATCTTTTCAATTCCACGAACAGGTTGATGGGGTAGGATGTTTTCAAGCTCGGTTATAGGACTGTAGTGAGCCGGGAGAAGGGTGCTGAGGGCTCTCGGTTATATAATTTTTCATCCCGGTCTATGACTGAGAGTAGTGAGCGCCCGTACCTTCTCCCATGGAATCTCATCCCGATCCAGTTGTGAGTCTACGCAATCCCGTTGACGATTTTGGGAATCTGTGGCGGCACCTGGGTCACCTCGCATCCGCTAGTTGGCTCTGCTGCTCCTAGGTTAGGTCTGATGAGCATGAACTTGGGCCCTACAGTGCCCCGATCTTCGGGGAACTCGGGCTATCAAAAGGGATGCAGGGATCCATGTTGTTCCGTCGTTTCTTTCGTCTGCAGAGTCTGTGAAAGAAAAGCTATCACCGGCGGAATATGTCGTAGTGGACACGACGAGAGACCCCCCCACCGGGCAGAGACCGTAGGGAGGCGAATAGGGCAAAAACTAGGGAACTAATGCCCGCAATTCTGAATTGAGGATCGATTACCGGGGATGAATGTCAGCACCACGATTCCAGCATGGTCAGAGGTGCACTACAGCCTGGTCTCGTTACTTCTTGCTAATTTGTAAGGCATACCGGGGCAAACAGGGTAACTTCCAGCGAACGTCCGTGCACACGGTATTCAGATTCCGGAATTATTTTGGGCTGATGGAGCATTCCACAATGACGTATCAGGCCCGGAAGGTGGCTAGTTTGTATATTTAAATGCGGTTCCATAGTGGGAGGGGAAACTTTAACCGCTGAGGCTTGTTCCGGAGAGAAGGCTCTGTTTACTTTGTCCAGAATTCGGCCAGAATTTTGAATTTCTTTCTCAACAATTTTTTTAAGCGCTCCGGAAGGGTCTGCACGGGGGAATTTGAAGAAATTAAAGTTCTCTGCGGGATGGGCTGCGATAGACCGGTTGGCCGTGTTGTGCAAACATGGCAGCGAGGCAATTTCTAGAAGCACGATCCGAACCAGCCCCGCGCCACCGCTGCTATTGTCACTCATTTTAGACCTCCTTGTGAATTCTTTCTCCAGAGGGCGCAAAGAATAAGAAAAAAGAAAAAAAAAAGTTTAGTCCCCAAAGTAGCGTACACTACAGAACCCACGAGTCCGGATATAACAGGCAGCACGATAGAGTCAGGAACGTGTTCGAAAAAGGGGAGAATCGTGTTGGAGTGGCTTCCCCGATGTACCAAGGTGGACAGATGCGGGGATTATCAACGATGAGGATGTGTAGCTGCCCCAACACTCTACAAAACGCGAGATTTAGGGACACGTGGTGCCACGAATGGTCGCATATACTACGATTCTCAACTTCGGAACTGCCGGTTAAGGAATCACTTGCTCCTATGAAGACCGATTTTAGCGCCCCCATCCCTTCCCCGAAAGGGTCCAGCGGTTTATGCCCTATGTGTGCGATAGAAGCCTGGTGACAATTATATAAGAGCCGGGTCCCATAACCCCCGCAGTACTCCGGCGTTATACGAACCGGTCTTGAGAATATCCCAAACTTGAAGTCTGTGCTGAGAACCAAGATGCTAAGCGTGAGAACCACCCCCCTCTTCTGATAATTCCCTAAAACCTGCTCTTCAACCATTGTGGAAGATCTCGCCTCATAATTGCCTTCTAGCTAGCCGGATTATGTGTGCTTGCTGCAACACTTATCCTCATCGCGTCTGCCGAAGATGCGGCCTTCGGGGAGAGAGGGGATCCGCCAAGATTGGAGGGTCGATAAGGAGGGATGGCATTTACAGGGCCTGGGTGTTCCGGAGGGTCAGCGGGATGGACAATTCATCATTGTTTGACAGGTGCTATTGATACTCTGACGACAGAAGGACAGAGAGCGAGATCATGGGACCCGGGCGAGGTAATGGGGGGAGTTTAATGAGAGCGGAAGGGTTCTAAACTGGCAAGGAAAAAGTGTACTAGTCGGATAAGTTTGTTCAAATTGCGCCTGTCACCTCGCCTTCTATTCTGTGGTACCCTTCGAGAGTTGATTTCCCGGTCCCGCAAAGGGAGCTAACGAGGGCATGTCGTTGCTAACGTGATTCACGAGGAAACAGCTCATGGCCTTGTAATGCTGCTCACCGATGGCAAAACCAAATATATCTTGGATTATCTGTATGAATAATTCTGACATCTGGGAAGGGTTTATCATTGATTGTAATAAAATATGGAGAATTATAATATATCAAATCTAGCGCATAATTATGAACTACTGCTGTCTTACATTAGTTTCAAAATCATGTCCTTCAAATCAAATTCCGGGGATTTCCACCATGCTGAGATAAAAATACCTTCTCGAGTGCATCGGCAAGCAGCTTAGGAGAACTTTTGGTAATTCAAGATCTTGTAGTACCAAATAGTGTTCGTTACAGGGCGGGGCGGGGCCTGTTTCTGCAAGTTCTCCCCATCCCGTTACGGCCACGGGGGACCTCCGAACTCCACCCCTCCCCGCCCCGCCCCCAGCACGGGGGCTACTGGGCGACCCCAGTTGCGCTCCCAGCCATATGATTTGGTGGGAGTAGGTGCGGGGCCCCATACAGGGGGTAGCCAGGGCGGGGGGGCGTGCCGGGGCAGGGGGGAAGGGAGGAGAAAATAGGCCTCGCCCCTGGCCAAACGCCGGGGCGGGGCAGGGAACGGGTGCAGCCAGCCATAGTTTGTGGGGCCCCTGAGGCCCCGTAATGAACTCTAGTACCAAGCTGCAACAAATCTGGAGTATGGTGCATGCAGTCTATAATGTCAACCAGCAGTGTTTCAAAATGTAATGCCTTTTGTAATTAGGGTTTAGGTGATTTCTGCTTAATTTGACCAGATTGATTATAAGACTGAAGTTTGATGGAAGTTGAGTTATGCTCTACACCTTGACTAACCCTGACCCTGATTACATAAGGCATTACATTTTGAAATGCCGCTGGTTGACATTATAGACTGCATGCACCATATACAAAGTACAAAAAAAGGGTACATTCAATGACAGGACAACTGTGCACCATGGTAACCTAAAAGCTTGAATTTTGAAAATGTATAGCTCATGTGGACCAAACCCTGAGCTAGGCCAAAAAGAAAAGTGTTATGGTGTGAAAAATATAAAACGTAGACCTGGGTAGGTGCAGCTATGCCATGCCTATAGTGAGGAAGAGTTGAGGGTTATTGTAACGTGTTCACACGGGGGCGCTAATCACGCAGTCGGGTACAATAGGAGAGAGGTGACATCTACGGGGGACTGTCAACTCAAGGCTCACTAAGGGAGGCTTCGGTGGTGTAATAGGAGAATAAAGATAACCGTTCAACTGAGTATATTAAAATACTGTCTGTCGAATTCTGCCGTTTCCAGAGTGGAAGACGGCGGTCTTTTTAAGTACATGTGTTTGAGTACGATCATGAATTCTCACTCATGTTCTTACTCAATCAAAGCATAAAAATAACCAAGTATCAACCGATACTTAAAACAAAACATAAAACAAACTAAGTATCAATTGATACTTAAAACAAAAGATAAAACAAACTAATAACCGAGTACCAGCTTCGGTTACATTTCCCAAAACAAATCAATTCCCTTACACAAAAGACACTAAGCACACATTGAAAGAAAGGAACCCCGAGCTTCGCTAAGCTCATCATCGTCATTGAAGGCCGAAAGGCACTGGCAGTTATAAAAACATGCCGGGCCCCCAATGCATGCCTCATCCCAGTCCGGCCCTGCGCAGGTTCTGCAGGTATAGGAGGTGAAGAACGCGGAGGCGCATTTTCGATTGTAGGCTCTTTTGAGCGGATTCCATACCCCACTCTTCAATTTGCAGTCCATCTGGTTGCATCCCAGGCCACAGAATATGTAGATCGCTTGCCATCTTTGGAGGGAGGGTATGTCGTCCATGCGCTCAAAGTTCAGTCGCCATAGGTAGGAGTCGTTCTTGCTGAGTCTTGTGAAGTCCGAGTTATGCATGGTGGAGTAATGTATGCTAGGGTATAGCAGGGTAGAACTGTAGGGGCTGGGGGGGGGGGCGAGTGGATTGCAGTGCGATGGGGCAGCTGGTGTCTGCCTGGTATCCAGGTGCGAAGTGCACCTTTGATGTGCTTCTGGCTGGGTGCGCAGGTGTGTTGCTTCCGTGTAGGGTGCGTGTGTGGGTCTTGCTTAGATTTCTGAAGGTGTGGGTGAAGTGGGGGTGCGTGGGTTTCGTGTAGGCTGTGTGTGTGGGTCTCGCTTAGATTTCTGAAGGTGTGGGTGAAGTGGGGGTGCGTGGATTTCATGTGGGATGTGTGTCTCGGTCTCGCTTAGATTTCTGAAGGTGTCGGTGATTCCGAGTCTTCCTCTGTTGCATTTTCAGGGCACAATTCGTCGTCAATGTACGGTGCCCAAAATCCCTTAGGTGTCCACCGTGTATATTCCCCTCTGTTTGTTTCTGGTAAGGTTGGCGCCCAGTACAGGGTTACTTGGAGTATTGTTGGTGGGTCTCCTTCTTTATTGTTGTTCCACCACTTGTGGATTAATTCTGTGGCGTTTCCGAGTCCTTCGATTGGTTCCCCACTATTTTCACTCGGTGGATATTCTTTCCATTTAATCAAGAATTCATCCTTTTCGTATCGTTGCCAATAGTCCAGGACTTTTTCTACTTCCCATTCAGGTGTTCGTTCACTAGTATTGGCGCTGGTCTAGCGTGGGCACGCCCTGGGAACTTTGTGTCATCGTTTGGTAGGTACCATTTTATTCAGCTTGCATGGAATGTACCTTCCGGGCACTGGTACATCTTTGCGTCCATTTTTACCCTGTAGTTTTCCGTGTACTCATCGAATCCGATCACCGTAAAGGGGCCTCTCCACATGGGTTCTAGCTTCTTGCTCCTTCCTGATTGAGTCGCAAATTGGCTTCCATAAACTAATATTTGTTCCCCGTTTGGAATTAGTGTCTGTACGCTGCGTCGCTTAGCTGCTTTCCGAGTTGTTCGGAATCACGCTAATTGGAGGTTTTGGAATACTAGGTTTCTCATTTCCCGATGTCTGTTGAGGAATTCGTCAGTAGCTGGTACTGATGATTTTCCAGATCCGCACTGTTTTCATCATTAGGTCTTCTTTTCCGTATACTATGGCATAGGGCGAGGAGCCGCAGGTTTCCGTATATGATCCATTTATATTTGCCGCTGCTTCAGCCAATGTTGGTCTCCAGTTGTTCTGTATTTTGTTCGTAATATTTCGCATTGCTGTTTTCAAGTCTCTGATTCGTCGCTCTACCTGTCTGTTGGTCTCATGGTGCCCTGGCTGAGCACAGAGGTGTTCGATACCTAGTGACTTGCACCATTGTTGCCAGAATTTAGACGTGAAACGTGGGTCCGCATCAGTAACTATAGAGCATGGGTACCCATGTGGGGTGCATACATGCTCGGTCAATTCCGCAATGGTTTGTTCTACCATATTAGTCGCCTTGGTAGGTATAAACCAGGTCCATACGCTCAGTCTATCCATGACCACCATGATCGTGTCATATCCGTCAGATGTGTTGAAGGGTCCTGCTAAGTCAATGGCAAGTGATTCGAAGACTTCTGCTAGTATTGGGAGTGTTTTTGCGGTGCCTTCGCGTAGTTGCGTGCATGGTTTATTGATCTGGCAAGTATCGCACTGCCTGACATACTGGCAGAAGTCATTGCCCATTTGCGGCCAAATGAAGTAAGCGGTGGCATAATCGAGATTTCTTTTCGTACTATGGTGACCGTTGTTATGGATTTCTCTTATGATATATTCCCGTAACGTTTCTTTCTTTCCAGCATACCCGTGAGGGACATACAGGCACCAAGCCCCATATCGGGTTGCCGAGTACACTAGTCCGTCATCGACTTCGTAGAGGTTGAGGTCCGTGAAGCCACCGCTCAGTAGTTTGTCATACAGTGGATCGCTTCGGTAGCCTTTGATCATCTGCTGTCTTAGGTTATTTTCCATCTTTTGGCATACCAAGAAGGTAGCTTGTTCCCCTTCAATCTCGGTACTTCTGTCTGTTACTCGCCCATGACTAG